GGTTCCTGTGAGCCAGGCTGGGAGGTGGACAGCGAGCTCTGGGCAGCTGTTGGAGAAGTCCAAGCAGCAGAGTGTCTCGATAGGCTTCTGAAAGGTTTCTCTGCCTAAGGGTGCCGGTAGCCTGTCACCCCCGCAGCAGTCTCTCTAAATACTTGTCAGATCGGACCTCCTGCTCGCCACCTCCTACTGGCTGCTTTCCTTGGTCTGCACAGCTGTGCGTGGTTGGACTCCTGCTGACACCGCAGTCTGATGCCTCTGGAACCAGCGCGACCAGCCACATGGGCTGCGTCTCCAGCAGGCGAGCTCCTTCTGCCTGCGGGTTTCTTTTTGGCATTTGCTCCACTTGGTGTGTCCTTCCCCCACGCCGAGGGCTCCCACCTAGACCACCTGGTGGACAAATGCTCATCCTCCAGGACTTGGCAGCACCTTCAGGGGTTGCTTTTCTTAAGTGAAACCCTCTCTCCAGGCCTCACCTAGACTTAGACACGTGCCTCTGCCAGCTTTCCTGAGCACCTGCCCCCTGCCTGTCCCCACCCCTCCCACACATATGAACTCCTCGAGGAGAAGGATCCCAGCTGAACATCCCTGAGTCATCAGCACCTGTCTCAGAGCCCGGCAGGCTGTGCCGGCTACCAGGCGCTTAGCCCAGGTTACCACGAATGAGGTAGGTGCTACCTTATGGACATTTCACAGGTGAGAATCCGAGGTTCTGGGTGATTTAGCCACGTGCCCACAGAGCTGGCAAATGACACTTCAGGTCTCTCTGATAGCCTCAGGGAATGTCATCTTGTGATGTGAATTGGATGCAATGTGGGCTTTTAGATGACTTTGCAGGGCCTGGACCAGCCGCACTGTCAGTGCAAGTGGTATAAAGTAGAGCTTGTGAACTGCCAGGCCCCCTGGAGTCTGGACAGGGGTGGAGGGGAGGGGAGCAGGCTGGCAGAACAGTGGCCCTGTACTGCCAGCTGGCCAGGGCACTGGTAGCTCAGCGCCTACCTGCTGGCAGGACTTGCTCGCTTTAAAAAGGAAGCCAGAAATCTGGATTTTATGCAGAAATCTTAATGTTTTTAAACATTGCTCAGGCCGTATACAACATACCTGTGAGTCACTTTGATCCATGGATCTCCTTTAGTGGCTTATGGTGAAAATGGTGGGATTACCTTCACCAAAAGATCAGAGCCCAGCGGACCCCCATGGGGGTCCCATCTGAACAGTGCCATGTCCCACCTGCTAGGGAATGGCTGACTCCATTCTGGGGTACGCTATGACCCCCCTTTAAAAATTTTAGAAGCAGCAGACACGGCAGAAAACTCAAGCATTTAAACATGAGCTAGATATTTGATAACATCAACAAATTATCATTAATTTTGTTAGAAGTGATAATGGCATTGTGGTTAAATAGGAAAATGTTCTTAATTTTTTAGAAATATACACTGAAGTATTTAAGGAGTAAAATATGACCGTAATTTATTTTTTATTTCAAAATATTAAGGAAGTACAAATGTTTTCGGTTACATGGGTTGCTTCTGTAATGCTCGAATCCTGGCTATAGGTGTGCCCGTCACCCAAATAGTGTTCATTGTACCCATTAGGTAGGTTTTTGTCCCTGTGCCCCCTCCCTGCTGGTTGATTTCCACTGAGCTTTACTTCCCTCTGTGCACTTGTGCGCTCATCGGTTAGTTCCAGTTTAATAGTGAGTACATGTGTGTGTTTGTCCATTCTTGAGATACTTCACTTAGGAGAATGGTCTCCAGTTCCATCCAGATTATTGCAAAAGGCATTAATTCATCTTTGTTTATGGCTGAGTAGTACTCCATGGTGTACATATACCACATTTTATTAATCCACTCATGAATTGATGGGCACTTGGGTTGATTCCATGCGTAATTTACTTTAAAACACCTCAGCAAAAAGGTAAAAATGACGAAGCAGATATGGAAGAGGGTTATGATTTCATTAGATGAACATGGAGATTCGTTATAATTTGCTCTGCTTTTTACCATATTTTAAATTTTTCATAATAAAGTAAAAAAACAAAAACAACCACAGTTGCAGGAAAGAATCTAGCCTTCCATGAATTGTTCTGAAATCTTTGCTGCCCCTCAGGTCACCTTCTGCCGAGTCATGCGCAGTGATTCAGGTGAGGTGTCTGCACCTCTAGGAGCGGAATGAGACCCGAGGGAAACAGTGTCTGGGCAGAGGATGGGAGGCAGCCCCCCAGCCCCTGACGCCTGGGGGACAGGCATCCTTCTCTTCACACAGAAAATGGCTCCTGCCACAGCCCACCCGGCGGTGGAACGTGTGTGGCCGGAAGCCTGGGTTAGAGGAAGCTGTGGAGCTGGAAGGCTGTTGTCTGTGTAGAGGGGGCTGTAGTTGCTCACTGGTTGGTGACCTGGGACCCTGCCCAGCTGCCTCCTAGTTTTGAGCCCTTGGGCAGGTTCCTCACCAGTCACCAGCCTGGCAGGTGCCGTGAGGATGCAGTGCCAGGAAAGCTCTGAGCACAGAACATAAGCGGAGACATGACGAGCGTCATTGCTTATCCTGAGTAACTTGGGTAGGAATTGCTGGGACGCCAAGTTGAGATAGCTGCCACGTTGGATTTTATAGAGCAGGACCTGGCTTAGGGTTCCAGGGACCAGCTATTGTGAGGAACGAGCATTTGGAAAGGATTTGGGGTTCCGGCAGGTAATAACCCCTGTCTCTGCCAAGTTGCCTCGGGGACCTGGGCAAGAGGAGGCGCTAGCCAAGCAGTGATGGGTGGAGGGACTCATGGGGGCAATCCTCTGGCCTTCGTTTTGGGAGGGCCCTCACCTTCCTTGGGCTCTGTAGCTCAGCCCTGCCCCATGTGCAGCTGGAGGGACCATCTCCGCTCTCTCCTTGTTGCTTTACAGTGTTTGAACATCCCCCTTCCAAAAAAAGAAAAATCTTCGCAAGTTCTCCCAGGGCTGATTAGCTCCTTTCTTGTCTTGCTGCAGCAGAGCCTCTCAAGCTGTCCTTGAGGGTTTCTTGTGCAGATTGGAGCCAGGCTTGATTAGCTCTGTTCGGGCACTAACCTGGCATATTAACCACCTTCTCAAGGAAGAGTGTCTAATTGCTTCATGATGCCTTAAAACGTGCAGATCAAAGAGCAGACCTGGCATTGAGACCGGGTGAGCAGAGCCGGAGCGGCTCAGCGTGGGCTGCAGGACCCTCGGCTCTCCTGGCTGTTTTCACTTGTTCCCATGCATCCTGCCTCCCACCAGGCTGCGTGGGACTCTAGCCACCGGCCTGGGACCATGCTGACGGTGGCGTTGGAGTGGCCCGCAGCAGTGTTTGGGTGCCGGCATCCCTGTGGAGGAAGGTGCCCTGCTGAGGCAGCTCACTGGGGGGGGCTCTGGACAAGAAGACCTTGCTGTGACTTTGGAGCATCCCCAGGAGTCCCTGCTGGCAGCACGTGCTCTGTGGCTCTTTCTCCTCCTACCTGAGGCTCAGAGGAGACTTGCCAGAGAAAACACAGGATGCTCAGTGAAATGTGAATTTCAGATAAACTACCAATAAGTTCTCAGTGTAAGTGTGTCCCAAATACTGCATGGAGAGGTTTTGTTTGTATGGGACATACTTTTTGCTAAAAAACATTATTCAATGTTTACCTTAAGTTCAAATTTCATGAGACATCGTATATTTTCATTTGCTGAATCTGTGAGCCTTGGCTTAGAGGCACCACTTGAGAAAGAACCTTCCTTCCATGCCTGGGCCTTGGCAGGGCTTTGTGGGAACTCTTCATCAGGGACCAGGGCAGGCACTGGGTGGGTGTCCTGGGTGCTGACAGACTGTGACTGAGCCCCTGCCTTGGGCCAGCTCTGTGCAGGGGCAGAAGAGACAAGAGCCCCACCTGATCTGTGGGACCTCCTGGCCAAGGAGCCCAGCGCTGATCTAGGTCTCAGTTTCTTCATTTATTACATGGGATTCACCAGAGTACATTTCTCTCGTGTTCTTATGGGGTTGAGATGACCCTGCTCCTCCACTGTCCTCTCTGCTCTTCATTTCTTCTGAAATACTTGGCCTTCAGCCCAGAAGGAGCGTCCCCTTCCCAGAGAGAGCCCTTCCCGGCCCCCACGCTGCCCAGGGTGTCTTTGTCGTAAGCGTGGAAGCATGCAAGCAGGACCGGCTGTAGAGTTTGTTGGGACCTCTTGCTCCAAAATTATTAAGAATGTTAAGGTGGGGACAGCAGATTATCACACAGTCCAAGTGCAGACCCTCTGTGATGGCTTAGCTTGCATGTCTGTGAAGTGGCTTCTGCCCACAAAGGCCAGGAAGACCTGGGTGGGTGGGGTGGGGTCAGGTCGTGGCGGGGAGGAGGGCCCGGAGCACAGAGCCCCGAGCACCGAGTGGAGACTGCCCAGACCCGGGCACCCTTGCCTCCCCTCTGAGGCCACCCTGTGCAGCCCCAGCCTCGTGTGGCCCTAGTGTGCCAGGTGGAAATTGTTTGTTTATTAGTAAAATCTCTTTCTTAACCCGTAGCAACTAATTCATGTTTTGGGACAGTCCTGTGAAGGCAAAATTAAGCACGTGCTCTGGAGGGTGGCATCCAGTGTGATTAGTATTTACACGTTGACCTGTGTGGTCACTGGATTTATCTTTGTCTCCCTCACTGGCCTGCGATCTCCACGAGGGCCACAGCGCTGACAATTTGTGTTCATTGTTATGTCCCTGGCCCCTGACACCATGCTTGGCAGGTTGTAGGTGCCCCAGAAATAACTGCCAGGCTTGCGTGGGAACACACTGAGTGTAGTTTTTGGACCTGCTTTTCGCCCGCTTAATAATAACAACATCATGAGCATCTGTCTTATTACTGAACGTGATGCTATGTGTGAAGCCTTCGAGACCATTTGCTCATGGTCACCGCTCAGTACAACGTTAGCTCTCTGGATGGTGGCGCGTGGCTGTTGCGTATGCCGTGGGGTCGTTTCTGAACAGGTGAGGACAGCACACCTGAGTGTAGATGTTTTCTGTTTTCTCAGGATGCCAAGTTCGTAGAGGAACGAAGAAAGCAGCTCCAGAATTACCTGCGCAGTATCATGAACAAAGTCATCCAGATGGTCCCCGAGTTCGCTGCCAACCCCAAGAAAGAGACTCTGATCCAGCTGATGCCCTTCTTTGTGTGAGTACATGCGGGGCCGTGCTCCGCCGGGCCGCCCACCGCTGCTTTCTTTGTCTCTTTGGAGGTGCCCTAGACCCAGGGACCCCAGGTGTGCTCCAGGAGCTGTTGTAGGTGCTGAATTGGAGGCTCAGTCTTAGCACTTTTGAGTTTCCCAAGGCTCATGAGAGAGGAGGTCTGCAAACGAGCATTGTTGATTAGAGGTTCGCAAATAAATTGAGGGCTCTGCGCTTCTGTGCTTTCGTACACTTTGTTCAAAGGAAAGGTTCGTTTGCTGTACAGCTCACAGGTGTTCCGAAACTAGAATGATCTGTGTCGGTGTTTCTCACGCTTGGGCAGTGAACCCAAGGAAAAATTCTCACAGACTCCCACCAGTGTGGACTGAAATTATTTTGGTGTTAATATTACTTAAATGTGAACAAACTTAAAACTAGGTCTAACTTCCTTGCCTTTGTATCTCTTCTAAAAGTAAAAAATATTTAAAAACGTTTATACGTTACACACTTACAACATCATTACAATTTAAAATTGTCAGTTAACATAACGGACGCTGCTGTTCTTCTGAAGCTGCGTCTTTGCTTACGATGGTGGATGGTGTCTTCTTTCACGCTTGCCACAGGCCACGCCAGTGTCTGCGTGCTGACTCCACCCAGCTGTGGTTCTCTGGTCCCATTGCTGGGAAGCGTCTATTTATGCAGCACGGTGGGGCTGGCGGCTGCCACTGTGGCGTCACTGCCTCATCCCTGGTTAGTCCTCTCTGCTCTACTCTCTTCTCAGCCGGAAACACGTTTACATCTTGGGAATTAGTGGAACCAAAATGACGAAGCACTACTTGGTTTTCATAGAGTCTTCAGGTGATCCGTAATGTAACTACGCTACTTCTAAAGTATTGTCATCGTAATAGACACAAAATGTGAAACTCCAGAGAGGAAACCTGTGGGATTTTTCAAGAATGGGTTGGGATTCCTCATTTGAGGAGCCCTGGTCTGGGTCCGTGTGATTTACTGGGATAAAAGAAAAAATAACGTTTCCCGTCACTGTAGCTCTTTAAAATGGCACAGGGCAGGTTTGGGGATGCGTTTCATTCCCGTGGTGATGCTGTAACTCAAAACTGGGCCTTATTTCTGCTTCTCCCTGTGGGGGTGTGCTCAGCATTTCCATGTTGAACTTCCAACCAGACAGACATGGGCAGCTGCCTCATTCCCTGCTTAAGTCCTTTGAAATTGTAGCCAAGATGGTTGCTTAGGTTTGTCTAATTGTTACAGGACTTTCGTGACTAGACGTCCTTGTATTGTGCTGCCTGTGATAAAAGCTGCCTTTTTTCCCTGAACAAAAGCCACTCTCTGGAACACTGTCTTTTCCTTCTACCCAGTCATTTGTGGTGCCAGGGCCTTGATCTCAGTGTTTTGAAATGGCCACAGTAGCTCCCGAGAGGAGTTCTCGTTCTTTTGAAAGTAGCCCCCTGGCCCGTGGTGCATCCTGGGAATTGGCCACTCACTGAGTCGTGTGCGTTTTGGCCAAATCCCCTGGTGAAGACGGAGTTAGTGAGTTGGTCCTAAGATGCTGATGCCGAGAGTCCGAGGATGCAGTGCTGCCCACGCAGACTAGTCGGGACCCTCCCGCCTGGCCCTGGCAGCCCAGCACCTCCGGTCGAGTGTCTACCAAACATCAGTCTGCCGAACTGTAAAAACCGCATGTTAATGCGAGGATTGTGGCGTGTTGTGCAATCTCAGCTGCACTGGTCGCCGTTAATCAGTGAGGAAAGGGAAACCTTTTGTGCCTAATTAGCACAGAGAACGTAAGGTTCAATTTATGGGCCTTAAAAACCAAAAAAGTTTGATAGGAAATGGTGGCGAATGACACAGTATCGACACTGGAATTTTGACTTAACATTGGTCTAGATCTTGGTTTAAATGCCCTCTTCTGCTTTTTCTCTTCTGAGCAAGATGGGATTGTAGTTGAGAGTTTGCAGATTGTTGCATTTGGGGGTAATGGAAGGTGAGCTGCGGACAAGTTTGCCCTCCATGTGGTCCCATCTTCGCCGTGTGCCCGCAGAAACCGGCAAGACTGGAGTCTTGGCTGGAAAGCTTAGCCTAAGAGATTTCTGGTTAAAAAACAAAACAAAACAAAAATCTCTTGGCTAAGGAAACAACCTCCCCCAAATATAATTGTTCTTATAAATCTTGACTTATGTTCCTTGGGTCTTTCAGATGCTGATTCAGGGTTCTGAAGGTCCGTTTCATCACCGCACACGGGCGCTCTCCTTAGAGAACAAGTCCATTCGTGTGCGGTGTGCCCGTGTGCTGAGCACTTCCTGTGGGTGCCGGCCTCATGTTCCTCCCCCTTCAACTCATCTCATCTTCCCAAGAGCCTCTTAGGTGGGCCAATATCACTTTATTAGGTAGAATTTTGCCAAGTTGCCATTAAAATGACGATTTTGCAAGGTTTCATGATATTTCGTAATTATAACAATTTAATTATATAAATATAATTTTTCATCATACTGATGAGGAAAGCAAGGCTCAGAGCGGTTACCTGGCTGATCCCAGGTTCGCCCACCCAGCACACAGGGAGCCTGGGCCGTTCGGTGCCCTAGCCCATGTTTTGGGGCACAGGTGGCAAACCTGCAGCCTGTGGATTCAGCCTGGTCCCTGACTTGTTTTATTTGGCCAGCACAGTGGGGTTTTGTTATTTGTTTTCCTTAATTGAAGTACTTGCCAACATAAAAAGATTTGAAGGTGTCAGAGAAAAAGTCCAAATGTCACGCTTCTCTTGAAAAATCAGAAGAATTGGTCACACTCTACTGCAGTTGGGTGCCCGTGTGTCCACCGAACCCCCATCCTGTTATCTCCTGGACACTGAGCCAATTTCCGCTGCCACGAGTCACTGCTCTGTGGCCGGTTGTCTCATATGCTCAGGTGCTCGCCTGCTCACATGACTGCCTGGTAGTGCGGCAGACACTGGAGTTGCAGTCCTGGCTCTCATGCGCTGCTCACGCTGCCCCTGCAGTTCGGTTTTGGATTTGAGGACACTCATGTTACGTAGGATGCATTTGGCTTGCATGCTGTGCTCCTGTCTGTATGTTCTAGGGCTAGTCCGCTGTGAAACTTCAGTACTGGTGGTCGCGTTCCGATCTAAGGGGCGGGAAGGTGGGCAAGGAAGATAAAAGCTAGTGGGTGGAATTAGCTTCTGTTTTTCCTTAAAACTTTTGGGCTTATGCACCCCGAACTTCAGTATTAGACAGGATCTGCTTCTGCACACACTTTTCCACTTTGTGTCCATGTTTCACTGTGTTCTGCAAGGGGCGTGATGACTTCTAAGTACTCTGCCATCTGCACAAATCTGAGAGTTGAAGAATCAGCAGGTTGACTTTTTTCTCCCAATCTCTCTGTGTCCCGTTGCTGCCTTTGCTAATGCCAGCAGCAGCTCTGAATTGGAAAGTAGGCCGGTGGGAAGTGGGACGTTTCTTTTCTATTTTGAACTCCATATATCAGCGTGGCCCAGGTGGAGACCAGAGCCTGCCCGCCCCCCAAACAGGGAGCAGATGAATGCCAGCCCCCCAACACCCCCTTTTGGGAGCCCCGTGTTGCTTGTATCCTCTGGCATTTGGTGGAAAGGTGGTCACAGAGATGTGACACATTGCAGATGGTAGCAGACACACAGGGAAGTGTCAGGTACTGTTAACGGAAAGAGGCTTGGACTCCAAGAATTCGCTCTGTAGAACCAGGACCGCAAATTGGTGACAGCTTCAGTGATTTGCTGTGCGGTCGTTTAGCACATTATTAAAATGTTTTTCTGCAGAGTAATTTATTCTTGGGAAATATGTTCTGCTGCTCCTTGAGGGGAGGGAGAAAGTCAGGGGTGTGGAAGGCGCGGAGTGATGTAGGTCACGGCACAAATTCCCAACTGGATTTTCAGCAGAAAACGCGGTCTGTGTTTCCCACCCGCCCCCATTTGCTGCTGCATTTACTCTTAAAGTTGTTAAATGTATTTTTTTTTCTGAAATATGAGCTGCCATGTTCTCCCAGTGAGCAGGTTAAGTTTAGCTCAGGGATGAAATGCCCCGACCCGTGTCCTGCCAGGGACCACGTGAACCTAGGCTGAGACCTTTGGCTTTGCAGGCTGCTGCTAACAGGAAGCTCACAGTTCCCACCCCCAAGAACTTTTGACTCACAGTGCTTTTGTGGACTGGCCAGAACCTTCCAGGCTCCAGAGTGCTCAGCATTGCCTGGTTGCCAGAAAGGAATGCAGGTGCTATTCAGGATGTCGCAAACATGTAGGCAGACTGGTTAGGTGTGGACGGTGTTCTGAAATGAAATGTCCCCGTCGGTGACTTTCAGTGGGTGAGCATGGCCCCGGGGGGCACATTTCCAGCTCCTCCCTCTTGCATTTCTCCTTGGCCGGCTTCACTGATTTCCATCAGAGGCAGATGAGTTTGAGACCCCTGGTAGCCAAATGGAAAGCATGGAGATTTCGGAGTCAGCGATGGTCCCCAGCTCTGCCACTAAGGAGGAGAGTGACCTTGGGCAAGGGTTCAGCCTCTCTGAGTCCTGGTGTCCATATGAACTGGGAAGAGGAGTACTGACCTTACTGATATACTGGGGTATTAAATGAGATAATCTGCGTATGTGTGATTAGCACGGCGTCTTCTGTGTGTCCTCTGTGTTAATGAGAGGGTGTCCTGAGGAAGGGGAGGAGGAGAGAGTCCTTACAGAAACCGTAGGGACATTGCTCTCTGCCTCTTCATCCGTCCATCCATCCATCTTTACAGGTGAAAAATTAGAGTCTCAGGATCTTTACTTAAGGTCACTCTGAGAGGAAGTTGCTGCCCTGTGCTGCCCTGAGATATGGGGACTAGTTAGTACACAGTCGGTGCTCATGAAACAGCAACTGCTTTATAGCATGAATTATTCTTAAAGTCAGTCTCTCTCTCCCTCCCTCTTTCCCCACCCCTCAATCCAGATAAAGTGATTTGGGGCCTGCACTAGGTACCAGGTGAAACA